TTTTTTTTTTTTTTTTTTTCTGCCCATCTGCTACGCTTTCTTCCCTTCTTGCTCTTCTCTACTTTTTCTTAAAATGAACTGCGAAGACGAAAAGGAAAAAAGTAACAATTCTTTGACGCCTTACACGGGCGAAAAGACGAGCAAAAAAAAAGAACTTCCCCTTTTCAACGCATTTGATGACTTCAAAATTGATTATTCCTTCCACAAACAAAAAAAGTCTTGTTCTGGTGTAATAAAAAACTCATTAAATGATGGGAATGATAGCAGCTCTGATGATAACAAAGACGATTTAAAAAAGTTGATTCAAATTATAAACCATAACTATATCGATAAACATTTTTATTTTAAAAAATTAAGCATTCATGATTTGTACAAAATATTTGTCTACTCAAATTTTTTAACAAAGTCATTAATTTTATATCCTTCTTTGATTCCTCATTTTGAACGCATTATAGAGAAATTGAAAAAAATAAAACACGAACCTACCTTACCAGGAGTCGAGGATGACCATTTTGTGTTTCCTCCCCTCGACTTACCCCCCAACGAGGGTCATCGGCTGCAGGCCAGCAGCTTCATTCAGAGTGCGGCCTTAAGCAGTGGCCTAGTTAAAAATGAAACAAATACGACCCAAGATGCTACACAGAACGCAGAAAAGAAAGCCTTTCTTCTGAACGTCGGCAAGGACTCCAAGTCAAGGAATAGTTTTATATCTACTGAATTAGACGAAGAAGAAAACGACATTGGGCAAGGCGAGAATGCACGAGGAAGACACCCATATGGCACAAGATATAACCATCTGACAAACACAAACTGTGACAAAATAAACAGTGGATCCTTCTCCGAGGTTCAAAATAAAGATAAAATTTCCAATTGTAATTACAACAGACAAGCAACAGAACAAAAGAAAAACTCAGACTTATTTCCATATGAAGGACCATCCAATTATGCACCTGCAAATGTAGGGATAAAAAATGCTCCTCTGAACTCTACAGTGAATGTGAAGAGCCCATGTGCTGTCCATAATAGCCACACGAAGAATGCCACCTCTGAGTACGATCGGGGTAATGGGAATAATGGCATAAGTAGAGACAATCCTAGCGTATCCATCCCATCAGTGGACAAGAATGTTCGTGTTTATAAAAACATAAATGAGTATGACATAATCGAGCTCAAAATAAGCGCTTCTTTTAACAACAAATATATATGCCGATATATAGGTAATATTTCGATAGCTATCAACAAGCTATTTTTGTACCTCTGTTTTTTTTTTTTTTTTTTTTTTTTTTTTTTAAAGCCATAGTCGCTTCTTCCCCCTCTTACGCTAATTCTGTCCCTTTTTTATCCCCCCAGGCATCCACAGCGGAATGACGTTATACAACATACACCGATGCATCTGCATATGCTTGGGAGTCAAAAAGGAAGACACGGACAACTACTTGCACGTTTTTATATTAAACAATGGAAACATTTATGGGAGCGGCAAAAAATGCAGCGTTAGTATCATCAGGAAAATTCAAATAAACACAGATCGACACATTACCTTCAAGCACATAGTCAAGACACCGCTGTATCTCTACAAGGCAAAGGACGCAAGTAAAAATAACTTCAGCAACGATTTTCCCGTCAACTGCACAAACACATTCGATGACAAGGCCTGTCCAAATGGGGAAAGTCAATACGGCGCAGAGAGCAATCCTAACGAGGTGATACACAGCGAAAATGAGAGCACTCAAAATAGTGGCGGCCCGAGCGAGAACAACCCCCATGAGAACAGCCCAAGTAGTAGTGACCACCGTATCGCTGACGCCAACCTATACAACCCAGACCCCCACAGCAGAAACGTACACGCCAATGTCAACGTAATGGATATTTCAAACTTTGGGGAGTCCAGCAATGGCCACACATTTGTAGCATCAAATACCATGCCTAACTATGATATGCTGAACAGCATGGACAGTGCAGGAGAGATGAACCACTGCAATGTTAGCATACCCACATTAAGTACCATTGGTAAGGCAAACAAATTTTCCAATTTAACCAACTCGTCTAGCACCTTCTACACTCATGTGGATAGCAACATGCCTCACAACCATACCAATAATATAAGCAATAATGGAAGGAGTATCTACGGGGAAAGTCTCAACAGAGGCACATGCAACAGGATCATGCGCTGTAGCAACAGTAGCCAATTAAGTGCGGGTGTTGTGGGGGAATATCTGCGTAACAGCGGAGGTGCCAACATAAATAGTGGCCATGCGAACGGTGGTATGGCAAATCGCAACTGCTCCTACGACGCAAGCGAAAGCAATATCAACTTAAGCAACTTCCCCATTCAGAGCAAAAATATGAAAACGAACGAAGTCTCAAATAATGCCCACTTGAACGAAAACCATTCCGACGTGGAACTACAAAACGATAGCCACAAAGTAGGCGACAATAACGACTGCGATGTGAAGGGTCCATCTTCGAGTGAGAACTACGCACGAGAGGATGATCAAGAAATGGAGGACGCCACTGCTGAAGATGATTACAAAAGGGAAAAATACAAAAAGGGAGAATGTCACAAAAATGGGCATGATCAAAATGGAAGCCGTGCCAACCGCAAACACGATATCCCTTTACGCAGTACCGAATCCACCTATGCAGACGCGACCCATGCGGACGAGCACCCCCTAAACAAGCTATGCGATGAAGCACAAAAAGTAGTATCACCAAACACCCGTAGAGACACTTGTTACCTTTACATGAATAGTCAGGAAGAAAATCACAGCTGTACGCTTAACACAATGTCGAGTGATAGCAGCCCCTACAAGCACGCTATGTCTGCCATCTCGCCTACAACAAGTCATCACCCTTTCGATCACCCTTTGCACGCCCGCAATAATTACACATTCAGCGCACAACAGAATGATACACACAGCTACCACCCTAATGGAATGAACACATCTGAACAACATGAATTCGCAAATGAGGAACTGCAGTCCAATTATCCCTATCCTATAAATCTGTCTCCCCAGTTTAACCCCCATATCAAGTTCAATCACGCACTTAGCATGCACAATGTAGATGAAAAAAATGGGGCACAAAGTGGACAAATCATGGACGATGCAGATTACCCAACAATTGATAGTAACTGCCAAGATGATGGCTCGTCGAACCCTTTTTTATTTCCCACGAGTACTTTCCCCAACTATCCCTACAACCTAAACGGGATAAATACCACAAATTATTTTCTTCACAAAAACGGAAACAACCTCACTCTTCATGATGAGAATGCGCCAAACGCCCACATCTACAATGATCCCATGCACAATCAGGAGAACCACATAGAGTATCAAAATGTTATGAACAATACTTTTCATGAGAGAGACTTCTCAAATTTTAGCAACCCTAATTGGTGTATCCCATATGATCATTTTCCTCAATCAAATAATGCCACTTATGCAAATGGATCAACAGCTAGCTCCTACATGGACAACTCATTTGCAGCTTCTCCGCTTGATAACACTTTCAATCCCCAGCAGACAGACCACTACTGGAATGATGCGAAATGCGAACAAGGTGATTCATCTAAGAGCTGCAAAAATAAAGACCACTCAGAAATATCGGAACCAATAAAACATAACGACGTTGATGAATCTGCTGCTTCCACACAAGCAGAGGATAACGCCATGAGAAACATAGTACCAAATAGCGGTAGAGCTATAACTAATAATTATCCCCCCTGGGGCAATTACAATTCCACATCTATAACGCATGTAACAACCCATTTGAACAGCAAAATGGAGAGTCAAGAGAATCATACTGAGATGCCAAAAGAAACAACTGCAGACGTGGGGAAAGAACAACCTCAAAATGATGTTCAGCCGGACGCCGTGCAACGTCACCCAAGTGGCAGAACCGATCAGGAAGGCGAACCAAATGGAACAAACGAAAGTGCCACTAATAATTGCATAAACAGGGAAGATGAACCTACAGAAAAACACCCTTTGGAAGATGACAAAATTTACAAAGGCGTACAGTGTGGAAGCATCCCCACATGTAGTAAAAACGAGAATGAAGCCCAACCGCGTAAGGACGAAATGAATCACACAGAAAAAGTCGCATCGAACCACGCATCATGCCATAATGACGCAGCAGAAGTAGAAAAAAGCAAAATAAAAGAGCAAACCCAAAAAATGAAGGATAGTCCCCCTGTGGAAGAAACAACGAACGGAGATATGCAGAAAGGGAGTGAAGCCTCCAAAGAAATTATCAATAGCGAAGAAGAAGCAAGTGATTGTATCAACAGCGACCATATGGGTGACAGAAAAACATGCGGCATTCTCAGTACTCACAGCATGGATGATGAACATGCCACGGAGGGGGGAGGATGCAACCCTGTATCTTGCAACTCCGTATGTGAGCAGAAATTGGGAGATGGTACGCACGCCCAAGAGATCAACCAGGACATTAACACGAAAGAGAATAATCCCCAAATGGAAAATGCACACATCTCCAACATTTCAAACACATGCCATGATGATAAGAATAGCACCTCCGTTAGAACAGAACAAAACGGAATCTCCAACTTTTGCAACACTTTTAACGATACAGAAAATGGAATGAATGGACGTAAATCACATCAAGAGGTTGGGTGCAGCCATACAGGAAAATCCCACACGCAGAAAAAAGAGAGAAAGGAAGAGGATTATTCATATTCACAAAGTGGAGAGAATACATCACCGGATACCCACCTTGTGTGTGAACAAAATGGAAGCAGTGTCCGCCCCACGGATGTAGTTCAAAGCGAAAGTATAAAAAATGGCTCCACATATGAACACACACATGAGGGGAAAACAAACGTGCAAGGAAAAACGGAAGTGCTTCCAACATCCGCTGATAATTCAACCAAGGAACTACACCGATTTAGCAAGTTAAATGGAGATAATGCCCCACCCACTGGAGATGCAACAACCCCAAAGAGCGACACAGCGGAACCCATTCTAGGTCGAGAAGAAATGGAAACAAAGGAAAAACCAAATAATTCGACAATGGACAAAAAGGAGAATTACGAAAAAGATATAAAACAAGGAACTCAGATAATTCTCACAAATGACAATTTTAACGAAGACAATGAAGGTAGCCATTTTTTTACATCTGAGCAAAGGGAAGGTAATATACCCCCAAAAGGCCTTACCGAAACGGAGCAACTCATTCTAGAATACCATCCCCACTTAAATGAAGAACTCAATAGTGAGGAAGATGCCCAATCCTTCAATGACCAAAATACATATATGCACCATATACAAAAAATGGTTCTAAGGACTCCACACGAAAATAGCAGTGGTGTTTCCTCCAACATGCCCAGTGGACCCATGCACACAAATCAAATTAGCGAATTCGAAACAGAAGACAAGGACAATTTGTGCCTCGAACAAAATGCAAAAGGGGATTGCAAACAGTGGGAACAGAAGTTATATCAAGAATATTTTTACACGAATAGCCAAATGAATTATATAGAAGGAAACACCACCCCGTGTTCTAATACCTCTCCAAGGACTGCAGGTAAGGTCATCCCAAAGGAGTTCACCAATAATTTTCACAAGACGAACCTTTTTGCAGACTACAACCCGTATAGCAAATCCACCAACGCAATGGTTAACAGAAATGAACATTCGCTCAACTTAGAAAATAAAAATAATGCCTATCATAAGACGTCACTTTGTTTTAAAAAGGATCTTTCAAATACGACTTACATGCAAGTGGATAATGATAATGGAGAAAACGATTGTGGGAACCATGACAATAACCCCTACCACATGACCATGTTACCGATGAATGATAAAAATGGGACAGACTTCTTCACGCAGGGGAAGCAGTACGCGAATAATGGAAGTCTCCACACCACTTCAAACACGCTTATGACCGTAGACACCGCAGTGGACACCACCGATTATATGCATAGCATGAAGCATAGCAGCCCGCACGGAAGTCTGCACAACACTGAGCATGGTAGTCAGCATGGCGAACAACAGGGGAACCAAGGGACCAACCAACGGAGCAAGCCCCTTAACACCAACCCAGTCGCAGAAGAAAACGCCACCTACTTCCCCCATTTTAACACCCCCGAACGGGTCAACGAAAACTATCCACACACTCTCTATAACATTATGTCAAGTGAAAAGGCGATACCGGAACAACCTCCATTCTACGTTGACTCAAATTGCCTAAACAAAGAAGCCGATCAAACAAAGTTCACTTCCTCCCTGTGCGGCACACATAAACCGAGTTATCACCCACCCTACTCTCAAAATGATAACCCCATAAACAGTTACAATGACTACTCATGCGATGCATCTACCTACATGATGAATAACAACGCGAATGATTATTCTAATACGTTCAGAGTGGATAGCCTCAGAAATGCAAACATGAATGTCATAAAGGAGGACACCTACTACGGTAGTGTGAACCAGGGGATGTACCTAAACATGAACGAGGTAGGGATGCACAGCACACCGATTGGCACCTTCATGCATGTGGACGAAATGAGACAAAGAGGTTGCGCAACGACACACGATATGGCTTCTAATCACTACGTCCAAATTATGCCTAATGAGGAGGACATCAATTTGAAGCACCTGCCAGACGATAACATGACGATTAGCGAATGCATAAATTCTTCCTACGCGAAAGGAGGAAATGAAAGGGACGTCGAGCCAAAGGAAAGAAGCAGTGAACAAGAGGAAGGGGACAGCGAACAAAGTGAAAAAACATTCGAAGAAAACAAATCGAGCTTTTCCATGCTGTACCTCTTTGGAAAAGTAAAATTCAATATTAGCATCATAGATATCATACACAACAAAACAAATTCGCATGACCTTCTGTGGGTTCCCAGGTGCTGCAATGGAAGCTACGGGACCTTCTTAAAAAATAATTACTTGAACGCAAATGAAATAGATAAGCACGTCCCGGAAGAGCACATTGATATCGACTGCATAAATCTCAAGCTCATGGAAACCAGGTTCAGCAAAAATGTGGCGAGCTCAAGAACCACCAAAAGGAAAAGGATGATTGACATTGACAAAACTGTCCTCCATTTCTACAAAGAACACATTAGCGAATTTTTCAACAATAAAAATAAAATCATTAAACTGACAAAAAAATTGTGCAAGTATAAAAAAAAACGAAAATATAATAGCAGCGATAATGGCAAGTGTAACGGGAAGGCTACGTCCAAGAGCTACGGAAAGGGTGACGAGGAAAACAACGCACACCCATACGAAAAGGGCAAATGTGTGAACAGCAAGACGGCCAATAAAACTAAATATAAGGGGAAGAAGAATGTGAGCCGCCAGGATTCCATCGCCGAGGACACCAAGGGGGATCCCAGCATGGACGGTGAAAATGGTGCTGAGCGCAGCGAGGAAAACGATGCAACATGTGACCACCAAAATGACCCCCTCAATGAGTCAGATGCTTATGCGCAAAGTTATCCCCCAAACTACGTCGATGAAACAGCGCACACGAACTATTATCACCAACTTAGGGATCACAACAGAGACTACTACCACTACCACACGCGAAACCAACTCAGCGCAAACCAAATGCATGCAGCAAATGCTGGAGAACACAACTACCTCATTAACGAACACGTGAATAGAAACGTCAACAAAATGGCAATACAGAATGAGCTCCTCCAAAATGATCAAATCTTTAATGACCCTTTTGTTAATAACATGCTGAGTGATATGTCAACCCGAAACGTAAATAAAAATAATTTTTACCCAAATATAATGTATCACCAATTTAGTGAACACAACGACGTCCTCCCAACTGACCATCAGTTTCACCATGAGATGGGGCCCTATTCAAATGTCCTTGAAGAAGGTTCCCCCAATGGCGACACTCTCAACAGCCTTCCTCCAACCACCTACTATAACCAACCGATGAGTCAATATTTCATGAACAATAATCCAAACGCCTTTAAATCAAACTTTGCAAATAATGCGAATACAAGAAAAGGAAAAAATCAGAACAAATCTCAAATGAGTTCCTTCAACCCTAACGACGCAGATACGAAAAGTGCTCTCCACTTGTCTCAGATACTTGAAGGGAATAATAATTTTATTAATATTTCCAACACATTTATTAACACAAATTTTGCTAAAGACCTTCACCAGACGAACGATCTGTTGGTCAATCAGAATAACTTCGATGTGAATGTTATGTCTGGCGGGTTAAATGCGAACCACTTTACACAGTAGAGCGTTCGTCAGAGTGTGCGTCAGAATGGGCGGGGTGCTATAAAATATAAATAACGAGCCAACTAAACGATATCACATTCCTGTACACCGCATAGCTCAACGGGTTGAAAGCATGTAGAAGCTTATACGAGAAGAAGGGTGTTCCACTCGAGCTGTCCTTGCATGCACTCTTCTAAGCAAATATGACATATTCAACCTTCTCCTGGTTGAATCCCAACTCTATCCTGCTCAACGCGCGTCTATACATACCTACGGACACATACGTATAGGTCCATTTAGACTGTGCGAAAACGCATCACAGGCAATTTTTCTTTTTTTTTTTTTAGTCCAATCACTTCATTTTTTTTTTTTGTTTTACGTAAATATATAGTAGTTTAGCTTTAAAAATAAAACCGCGAAAGGGAGAACTTTCTCCTCGAAAGAACCCCCAGTTGGGGGGAAATTCAACTTTTTACATTTTCCTGTGCATCGTACACTGATACGCACTTGCGGATCATAAGACTCATCTCTCAAACGCATTTCCAATTTGCGGGGGGGGGGGGGGAAAAAAAAAAAAACGCTAATTGGGGGAAATATTCAAACCTTTGCGTGTAACATACAGAAGCTGTCCTGCGAGAATATGACAATGACGAATGATCTTCGCATGCATCTGCCATAGTCTTCTAATGTGTTCCGCTCCGTTGCGTTTTGTTCATGAGATTATATTTTCACTGGTCCCCCCCTACGGCGCACTACCTAATAAATGATCGCAAGACAAGTTGGAAAAAAAAAAAAAAAAAAAAAAAAAAAATGAAGAGAAAATAATCTCATTAGTAAAATTGTGCTCCCGGGGGGAAGTACCCTCTTGGAACAGCAAATGGACTTTCCAAAAAAAATGCGTGTATACATTTTTACTCTTCATTGTCTGGCAAATTTATGAGGCAATTTTTGATGAAATGATGCATTAGGGACATGCGCACGGATGGTACCCTCTCGGAGGATACACATTTGTGCACACATAAGTACATCTACGTTGTTCAGTAAATGCACGTGTTTCGTTGCATGCGTGCACGCCACTTAGCGCCCTGCGCATATCGGTTACCGCCCTCTACCCAATGAGGCGTCACCCAAAAACATCATAGAGACAAATGAACAACTAAACATGAACGATCACATCAAGGTCTTTCTGCGCATTAAACCTAATGTCGAGAATCTGTCCAAGTTAAAAAGCGAAGACTGTGCCATATACAAAATTGACAATAACCAGTTGCACTTGTTTGAAAAAAAAAAAAGTTACAATGACACTAGCGAGCTGAAAACCAGAACGTTTAATTTCAATTACATCTTCGATGTGAATTTTCAGCAGAGTGATGTATTTGATTTGATCGGAAGAAATCTCATTAACAACTTCATCAGTAAGCGGGCGTTCGCTTCTACCTGAGTGCGTTTCTCTGCTGTTTTATGAAAGGGGCATCTCTGGATACCTGCATAACGCTACACACCTCTATTCAAAACATCCCCTTTCCCCCCATGCACAAGGCGGGTACAACAGCTCTATCCTGGCATATGGAAACACCAACAGCGGGAAAACGTACACCCTCTATGGGGACAGGACGGAATCGGAGAACAGGCAACACCATGGGCTCATTTATTTGTCACTCAGCTACTTTTTCCAGTTGAAAAAAATGAACAAGGTACGTTGCAAAAAGTAATGCATTCGTCAAAGCCCATGCGCATATGCATGGACCCATGTGTATCATTGTTCAAACAAGGACACATAACACTCCTTGTTCCCCCTTTCTCCATTTCTTCCTTTTTTCCTCCCCTCAGAACACTGAAATTTCCGTCTCCATAGTGGAGATATACCTCGAAAAAATAAGGGATTTGGGTAAAGTTCTTTTTTTTTTTTTTTTGTATCACATCTGCCCACATAAACGAAATAAGGATGTATCCACGGAAAAACATATACGAACACTGCCGCAAGAACAAATGCACATTTCATCAACCCTGCCGATTCATTTGCTGTTCCTCCCGTGCCTCCTTCAGGAAAGATATTCCAACTGTCGCAGTTGGCCACAACCACAGATGACACCATCAAGTATTACTCACAGTTTCGTGATAACATAATTAGAGAAGACGAAAAGGGCAATGTTAAAAAGGAAGAGATGAAA